GAGGCCCAGGAAAAGCTGTTTGCTTTGGATTTTGTGCCTGTGTTTTTGCTGCAACGCCCCAGGAAGACACAGCAGGGAGTGAACTGACCAGTCTGGTGAACTTTTTATATTCCTTTTGGCCTTTTAATACCCTGAGAAGTGGAGGATCTTTTATTTTTAAACACAGCTGAAGGGCTAAATTAGCATTTTGGCAAGGGAAGCGAGCCTGGAAGGCAGCAGTGAGGGAAGCAACTGTTACCTGGAGCCAAAACTGAATGGAAACTCAGGCAGAAATCCCACGAGTGTTGGAGTCCCATCCCCAGTGAAGATGATGAGGGGGCCCAGAGCAAAACCTGCCCAAAGCTTTGCCAGTGTTCCTGCTGCTGAAGCCCAGGCAGTGGGACACTCCTGGCTCAGGTGGCACTTCCATGTAGGGCACCAGCTCTTGCCTCCTGTGTCCATCCCACAGAGAGCTAAAAGCCTCCAAGCCACCCCACAGTGGGCTGAGGGCTAAACTTGCACACTGGGCAGTCCCAGGGATGTTCATGGAGCATCTGGGCACCACCTCTTGGCTTTGGGCATCCTGGTTGGGACATCCCATTAAACAAAAGCCCGACTGCCTGTCAGCAGGAAAGGAGTGGCACCACACGTAAGGAATTCTGCCAGACAAAAGGTCACATGGAATCAGAGAACTCCAGAAGAGTTTGGGTTGGAAGGGACCTTAAAGCTCCTCTCCTTCACCCCCTGCCATGGGCAGGGACACCTTCCACCAGCCCAGGTTGTTCCTCACCTGCTCACGCCAAAGCAGCACTGAGGTCGTTCAACACTGTCCCCACCTCTGTCACAGGGACACTCCTCACACCTGGCACAGGCCAGGCCTTGGATTAACATCCCCAAATCCTGTCTGACACCCATGACAGAGTTCATGTACATAAACACTGCACAGGCCTTTCCCTGAGAGGAAGAGCTCATCCCAGCCCGTGCTGTGCTCAGCTTCCCAAGGTCCGTGGTCGGAGCACGGGCAGAGCAATTCCCTGGTGATGAGGTTGCTGCCAAGATCCTGCCCCCCATCCCTGTGCTGCCTTCCCCTCTCCTCCAGGTGCATGGACACAGCTCTGTGCAGTGTATTTTGGAGGGATCTGAAGGCTGGAGGTGACTCTCCCTCTGCCCACCCCACTCCCACCCCCGGGAGGCAGGTCCGGCTCCGGCCCCAGCAAAGCCTTGACAGCACCTGAGTTGTTCAGCTCCATAAAAACACCTTTTTTTATGTATTGATGTGAGACAATACTGATACCCAGTGGCTGATTAAGTTAATTACAGTTGGGTAAATACCCCCCTTGATGACCCCCAGAATGGCATTCCAAGGGTGGCTTCCACTGGAGCAGCCTGGGAGCAACGGGATATTCAATTCCCACTCATTTTTGGAACTCTTCTAAACAGATTTGCTGCTAGAAACTGTTTTTGACTGGGAGTCAAGTGCAAGTTACACCTGCTTTGCAGAGTCAAAACATGAGCTAAGGCAATGGCTGAATCCTTTAATCATTCCAGCATGTGATTTGCATTCTCCTTGGCTAACAAATGCCAAAGAGGCTTTCCCAAAACCAGAGCTGAATCCCGCTGAGGTCAGGTTATGCATTTTTCACAGCCATGTGCTGCACCTGGATATCAGTTTTTAAATGCAAACAGGTATGTTTTATCAATTTGTAGCAGGAAAACCTATGATTTCACAAGGCTACAACAACTTGACTTGGGGTGAATCAGGGTTCCACTGAAGGCACTGCAGCCCTCGCTGAGAAAGTTGCTCTTTATTTCTCCATCAGTATTTTTCCTTCCCAAGTATATTAAACATGAAAGAATTAATGAAGAGCAGAACAAATGCCTGTATCCCACAGACACTGGACAGCACATGGACCAAACCTCCCCAAGGTAAGCCAGTGGGTGAAGGTTGGAATTTATCAAAACATGACAGAATAAACTAGTTAATTATCTTGGGGTGATTGCCAGAGTGCAACAGTCCTCGGAGCAAAGAGCTTCTCAGACCAGCCTGAGGGGAAGGGTAGTTTAGAATTTGCTGCTTAACCATGTATTTCAGAAGTTTCCTGACCCTCATTAAGCAGGTGGGATTCCAATGGGCTGCCTGGTTTTCTGCTGCTGCTGATCTTGGATGACACAGGCCCAGAGCTGCCATTGCTGGGACAGCTCCGAAGGGCTGCCAGAGTTCAGCACAGTGTCTCTCCTTGGTCACAACCTGCCTTTTCGTATCAGAACAAACCCCAAAGTGCCCCAGAATACTGGCCCAAGTTGTCCTATGCCAGGGTTTGGTGGAGCCCAAACCAAAAGGAAAGGGAGTGCTTGAGGAGAGCTGGTCCTGCAGGAACACCTGGAGCTGTTCTGTCCCACCAAACACCACGTTCTACAGCTCTCACCTCCCCAGAGGATCCCAGTTCCTGCAGTTGGGCCTGGCTCGAGGTCACCAGGACTTGGGCTCTGCTGCCTTGCTCTGGGCTGTAACTGGGCTCCAGATTTGTCCCTTTGCTGCCCTTTCCTCCCTCACCTGGTTCTGGCCTGACCTGCTGACTCAGAAATGGTGTGCCCTGTTTTCAGCTCATGAAGCCCTTTCCTTAGGCATGGAGACTGATCCCATGTTCCATCCCTGAACCTGCCCATGAAACTTAACACCAAAGACTAAGGGTCTGCCTTAATTACAGGAGATTTTTCGCCCTCCCCAGCATAAACTGGAGAAAGGTGATTTCCACAGCTGCATTATTCACCTCAGATTTTCCTAAGGCTGCTTTTATAGCAGTGCTAGAGGTCAAAGCCTCTGCTATTTCCTACACAACCTGAATTTACTGTGTGTTACAGGGCACAGGATTTATTTAATCCAAGCAATAAAAGATGCACCGGCAGCACTGTTGGTAAATAAATAAAAACAACAAACTAAATGAAAAAAAAAAAAGGCACAGAAAGCAAAAGAGGGATGATGAGCTTCACTTCAGGTTGGATAAAGCTTTTCCCCACCATCACGGGGTGAATAAACCTCCATCACACACCAAGGCCAGTGGTTCCCACCACGGACACCACCTCCTGCAGCCACTTCCCAAGGGAAGGCAGACCTTCTTTCCCTCCATCTGACTCCTGATGTGTCTCCTCTTTGGTAACAGCACCCCACCCCTGTGGTCCCAGTGTTCCAGAGGGAGGGAGACACCTCCAAAGGCTCCCTGCTCCCAACTTGGACTCAACGACCTTAGAGGTCTTTTCCAAACGTAATGATTCCGTGATACTTCCACCCTCCTTCCCACTGCCTGAGCGACTCATCCACAGCAGTTTTCCCTTCTGATGAGGGAGAGGGTGTTCCCAGACTTGGCAGCATCCCTGCTTTGGGAATTTATCAGGATTTGGCTGGTAGGAAAGAGAGCAGATCCCTCTCGAGCCGCGCACGCGGGGAAGAGCCGTGTGTCCCTCAGGCCTCTTGGCCAACTACAGCCAGTGGTTCACAGTGGTGGGATCAGTATAAATAGATCCAGAATATCTGCAGGAAAAAGCAGCCTTTGCTCTGGGCTGGCAAGGTTTTAATGAGATCTCCCACAAACTGCGTCAGAAGGGCGAGAGGATTTGATTCCCTGTAATTGAGCTGCGCTCTTGCCTGTGTTCTCTGTCCCGCCCTTCAGTGCCCTCCTCTCTGAAAATTCCTTTGTTCAGCCTAAAGAGACGTTTCATTAAATAAGAAATAATTTCTGGGAGTGGTAATTACAGCCTTTTTTTTTTTTTTTTTTTTCAGATGGATGATATGTAGCTGTTCTGTTTTCCTTTCTGTTAGCAAAAAAAAACAAAGAGAATCCCAGCGCCTTTCATTAGGTGTCAGCTCCAGCCACCCCAAACTCCAACAGGCTGGTTTTGGTCAGGTTGAATTTGTTCTGTGGAATGACTGAAGTTAAGCTGGAAGCAAAGATACCTGTGGCAATGCTCGTTGGATGATCCATCCTGTCTCCCTGAGCTCTGCTACCCTTGGAAAGGGCTTTTTTCCCACTGGTTCAGGCTGATCCTCTTTTTATTTTCTTCCCTGTGAGCTCAGCACGTGGGAAGGAAAAGGCACCAGGCTGAGAGAGGCAGGGGAGAGAGAGCCCAGATCCTGCACTATCCCAGCTCCATGTCACTGGAATTACACCTCTAAAAAGCACAAGCAGCACAAACCTGAACCCACTCCAAGGTGTGCTCTGATCATCTGTTTATTGCCTGTTTTCCAAGACATTATTACCAGCCTTCCACACGTGTGGGGGGTGGGTTAATGCCCCCAAATTTCTGCCTTTTTAGTTAATGAGACACTTCATCAAGGTCTGTTTTTCATCTACGTTCCCTCTCCTGCTCGGTGCTTTCCTGAGCCCCTCACTTTACAAATCAAAGCAATTAGCAGGGCTGCTAATTGCTCACAGAGGTACAAAGCTCACAGACACCACCATAGCCACGGATGCTCTTGGACTCTGCAGGCAAATTCCCACTCCATAGGGAGCTTCCTGGCCAGCCTTTCCCAGAGGTATCTGCTTCCCTGCTCTGAGGCCAAGACATGCACTTGGCACCTGCTTCCCAAAGCTTGTGGAGGCAAAGGCAGCAGCAGCAGCAGCAGGACTTGGATCAGCTCAGCAGACGTGTCACAGGCAGCTCTGCTTGATTTTAGGCCTCTCAGGATTTGGGTTTAGCCAAACCAGGCACTTTTTTACGAGCCAGAAGCCAGTGTGAAAACCCATGGCATGGCACAGCTCCACAGCCAGAGACTCTTCCCAAGCAGCATCAGGACTTTCAAGAAGGTCTCACTGGTGTGTCCCAATATCTCCCAGGAAAAGACTCTCAGCCTGTGTCCCACAGACAGAGCCATATCTGCTCCTCAGGACTGGCTCAGCAGGAATGCTGCTGGGAATCACCCTTGGCACTCTGTGACCTTGGATGCAGCAGCAGCAGCATCACCCTGCCCGCTGCACCACAGCTTCCTATTTAACCTGGTTGCATTCCCAGGCTCACACTCCGCAATGGCCAAGCTCAGCAGCCTCAGAGATATTAAATTCTTTGAGTTCCACGAAAACAGGCTGCCAGGTAAAGAAGACAGGGGGTTTTGTTTCCCCTTTGGAAGGAAAGGAGGCTGAGAGGCTCTCGCAGGTGCTCCCCTGAGGATCCCAGAGCTCAGGGCTGCTCTGGGAATCACTTGTTAGGAACCTCAGCCCATCCTCACACAGCACATCCCTTAATCTGGCCACAAGCTCTCTGGGAAGTCTGGAAAACTGAGATATGTGTCTTTTCCCCAGCAGATTTCCTGTGTGACCTGGGCAAGTCTCTTATAATCAAGAGAGATCTAAGAAGTGCAAAACATCTTAAATTCCCTTAAGTATAAGGGAAACCTAAAGGTTTCAGGATAAGACTCATCCATCTGGAATCCAGCCAAGCCTTTGAGTTTAGTGCCCCTACATTTGCAAAAAGCTGTCAGAGATCCTTCATGCCCTCCAGAGCTCACAAACTCAGGTTTAGCTTTCAGCTGGAAACCAGTGAACAACCAAAAAGAATGAAATATCCACTTTTGCTGGAATCTGAAGGATGGCATTTCCAACAAGCACATGGAAGTGTCCTTAGGGTCACCTACCATCTCCCTGACATAACAGGGCCTGAATGTTTGAGCAGCAAGGATGAGGAGGCAAACTTAACACAGCTCCTTATAGATTCGCCTCTCCCAAACTTTTCCAAGAAAACCCCCAGTCACACTCACTGCTCTGCTCTCACTGCACCTTGTCAAATAAAAGAGGATTAAGCAGATATGCCCAACTTGTTTAAGCTCCACCAGCAAACTCCAGCTGGCAGCTTCCAAACCGTGCCTCTGAATTTATTGGCATTTCCAAATGTTTTACAGGACTACGGTCCTGGCACCAGAGCCTTGTTACAGTGGAGAGAGGAATAACACAGCACAAAGCTCTTTATAAAGGTGCCAGGCCATCAATACCTTTTTTTTTTTGGAAGGATACTTATATTCAAAACAATTCAAATGTTTCCAAATAACTGTGTTTTCTGCCCAAACAGAAAACAGGCTGAGAAGGAGCCTGGAGGCCAGTGAGCCTGGTCAGAGCCGAGTTCCTTGACGTGTGTTCCAGCTGGGAGTTACAGGACACACAAGTGACTGCCCAGAACAGCCTCGGCCCCAGCACACCCTGATTTCTGGGCTAATGGCTCCAGGCTGCCCAGTGCTGCAGGAGAATGAGGTCTGTTTGTTTGCTTTGGAGCCAGGACGCTGCAGAACGCGAGGGCTGTGGGGGACACACCTCACCTGCTGTCAGTCCCTGCACGGCCCCACCACGGGGCTTTGCCAGCTGACACCTAAAGGAGGGGAGGGGATGTCACCAATCCATACAAATATCTCAAAGAGGTGTCAAAGGATGGTGCCAGGTCCTCTCCAGTGGTGCCCAGCAACAGGATGAGGAGCAATGGCCATAAACTAAAACACAAGTTCCACCTCAAGGTGAGGAAGAGCTTCTTCACTCCGAGGGTGGCAGAGCACTAGAACAGCTGCCAGGGAGGGTGTGGAGCCTCCCTGTCTGGAGACATTCCAAACCCACCTGTTCCTGTGTCACCTGTCACCCTGGACTGGGTGATCTCCAGAGGTGCCTTCCAACCCTGACAGTTCTGTGAGGGTCTGGCCCACAGTCACCCAGCCCACCAGTATCTGCTCTGAACTGAGACTGTGTTGTTGACTGATGTGTCCCTGGAGGGTTCTGAAGTCAGACACAAATGTGTCCATATATCATCCAAAGCCTGGGAGCCTGGATGATGTATTAATGTAATAACATTTGAGAGCACGGTGACTTCAGTGACAGCAGACATCTGAAATGAAAGAAATTTCATGGTGCTAATGCAGGGAAAGCCCTGGAAAATCTTTTGTATTTCCCAATCATGCACGAGCTGGTGAAGTGACTGGAATAAAATGGGAAGAGAATTCACCTGCAGTCCCTGGTGGGAGGGGAAGAAGGCACATGGACCACAGCACCAGCTCTCTCCTCTCGGCCCCGGGTCGTGCCCTGGGGACCTGTGACATGTGTGAGTTTTATGACAAGAAAAGGCACCTCTGAACCTTCTTATGAAGCCAAAGCCAGACAAACAGGTTTCCCCATCTTCAGCTCAGACAGCCACGGGCCGTGGTGTCAGGCAGTTCAATTCTTTCCTCACACTCTTTCATCCCTGCCCTGTTCCAGTCCTGCAGCAGCTGCCGTGCCTCTGAAAGCAGCGTTGTGAGCACCCCTGAGAAGGAGAGCACGGACCCTCTGAGACCTTCCACCTCTATTGTCTTAGAAATTCGGTGTCACTGCCTCCATCCCAGCCAGGCACAGATGGAACTGGGGAGGGGGAAACACCCCCTTGGCTGTTGGAAAGCCACGGAGCCCAACGGGACCAAACCTGAGTGGCAGCGCCGTGTCCATCACCCCCTCCCTGCTCCTGCCCGGCCCATTTCAGCCTCCTCCAGTTGTCAGGAAACCCCACACCAGTAAGGAGCAGCACTTAAGCTGTCTCAGCAAGCAAAGCCTAACTCCTGCAGCCCTCAGTGTATTTATGCAATGCAGGCTGGCTCTGGGCCCACACGAGCTTTATTTATCTAATGTCTGCGCTGCGGGCGATGGATTCAGAGGGAAGGGATTATTAGAAGACAACACACATGAAGGGGAGGAAAAGAGTAAGTGAGAAGTCCAGTGGAGCACGGATTTGCTGCACTCCCAGCTCTCCCTGGACAGGTCAGAGAAGCAGAGCCCTGAGCTGGAAGGACCCTGAGCAGGGTCACCATCACGGCGAGGGGCTTCGTGCCTTGTGGGGACTCTCCCCAGCATAGCAGGAGACAGCAGTAAATTCCACTAATTGCCCCAACCCAATTAATTATGCGAGAAAAGATGTGAAACGAAAATTAATTCCATGAAACCGGTCCACGAAAATTATCCTGGAACCTTAAATCAGCATTTCCGCAACAATTAGAAGTTCCTCCGGGACCCTTTTCATGTGGGAAGGAGTCCTGAGTCACTGTTTCATGTCACATGTTGTCAGAAAAAAAGCTGTTTCCTAGAAAGAAAACCACCTACAGAGACTTGATAGTTGGCTGAAAGTCTTTGAATTTCCAACCTATGTGTACCTAGAAGGGAAATACATCCCCTGCAACAACGGCCTGTGCATGGGGCTGCAGAGACTCTTGGAAATTAGGAGATAATAAATCAGTGTGATCACAACACTTCAGGATGGAAAAGTCAAAAAATAATAATAAACCTGTGGATTTTATTTCTCCCTGGTTATTCTCTGTGGTCTGACATCTTTTGGATTCAGGGCTCAAAATCCCATTAAAGCCCCTGCTTTAATCACCAGAATCTGCCCCGGCTACAAATCTGAACAGAGATCGTCCTACCCCTAATTTTGACATCTAAATGGGGCTGGTTTGGTTTGGTTTGTTTATGGGTGAGCTTAGGGGATTTTTGGTTTTGTGTTTAATTCCTGAAGTCTTTAGTTCTCAACCAAAATAAGGAAAGGACCAGGCAGAGCAAGGGGGGAAATTCTGCCTGTGAACATCCCTGGCCAGGCAGGAGCTGATAAAACCTATTGGCCACTGAGCACAAACTGAGGAAGAAAACTCCTTTTGTTCCTCCCTAATATTATCTCCAGACTACAAACAATCCAATTCTCACACAAACCTGGATGGTTTGTTTAAAAAGAAGTTACCTCTGAACTTGAGCTGCGTGAGGAGCAAAATACTCACCCCAAAAGTAGGAATAGCACTCGAGTTATGCCTTTTTACCTCACTACCCTCAGTTTTCTGCCTCTTTTTCTTTCTGTGAGCTCTAGACAGGGGGAAAAGTGCAATGTAAGGAACTCGCATTGCTGGGGCCTTAGTAATATCCGTCAGTAAACCTGTAATTAGATAGGGAGTCGTATTAATCTTGTGCATTGCCTGGGGGACATTGCCAACATCCAGCAAAACCTCTATTGATGAGGGAGGATTCCAAGCATGCCTGGATGAAAAATGAAAGAGATGAAGTATTTACTTACTTTACCCTTCCCTCAACCACTCATTCCCAACCCAGGAATACTCCAGACCCCACCAGGCTCAATTTTCTCCCGACATCAATGCCCCGACACAAAAGGCAGCACATGCCCAGCCTTTGGGTTCCTCCTCCCTGCCTGTTCTAACAGGTATTTCAAAGCAACCTCAAAGTGGGATCTTTTCAGCCGTGCCACTTTTTAATTTCAGATGTGTGAATGGAATGAGAACAGTTAATGCAAACAAAGACGTTGGTCAGTTGTGATAATGGGAGTCGTAGCCTGCTCATCCCACCACATGATTCATAGCTCCCATCTCATTAATCCTGCATCAAAGACGTGATTTATGGCTGTTCTTTTGCTGCACACTCCACCCTTGTTTCCTGGAGGAGAGGGAATAAACTGTTTTATACAGAGGTGGGAATTTTTTTCACATGAGTCTGTATGGTGAGGGATTACTCTGGCCTATTACAGATAGCTGAAACACCCCAAAAAAGAGTTTTCTTACTGAAAAGGCATTCAGTAAAACTGGCATTGTTTCTATTACACCTAACTGCCAACTTCATCACTTCCCAAGACTAGTTTTCTTTTTATTCTTTTTTTTTTTTTGCATTTGTCTGCCTTATTAGATTTATTTGATTGCTGAAAGTAGAAAAAAAGAGGCCAGTAGATGGAAACTGCTCACAGACCTTCCCACAGTTGTTCAACACATTCAACAGAAAATAGCCATGACAATTTTTACAAATGTGGAGTGAGCAGAACAGAGACAATTTCACATTTTGCCTTTGAGGCTTCTTATTTTATTTCTCAGCCAACTGCAGTGTCCTTTAGAAAAGCATTCCCTGACAGCTACTGCTTCCCTGGTTATCTTTTTTTAGGGTTAAGTAAGATGGTAGAATCACAGAGCTCATCTCACTCCACCCCCTGCCATGGGCAGGACACCTTCCAACAGAGCAGGTTGCTCAAGTTAAAATCCAGGATTTTGACTTGAATGGAGCAAGGATTTTACACCCCCAGTGTGAATTAATTAGGGTCAGTAATTA